TTCTTTACGCTGACGCTTTAATCCACGTATATTTCTTTTTGCTGCTTTTTATACCTAAAAAGAATTCGCTTCAAAATGTTAAACTGTCCTTGTACTTCACTTAATAACTCACAAATTTTTCATTTCATCGGGATCTTTGGCTTATACAATCTATTGTTTGTGTCTAGAGTTTTGCGCGCGTTCGTTGAAATCATTATTGCCCAACTGTATCTCCGATTCTCGAGAGGTAACATTAACTCGCATAAACAGGCGATTGACCACACATTCTAAAGAATTATTTATTCACTTATATCCTAGATTTAAATTCTATTTGCTTACAATCTATTGGATGTTCGGTTAACTTCCATTCCATTTTTAGACCTAGAGGGTAAAGTGTCTCGTAAAGCAAATGTGAAGAGTGTCAGCCCTCTAACTTTAATAATTTCCGAGTAACGATTAAAAATCCAAAACTTTTTGCTCAAAAAATCTGAGCTGCGTTTAGTGTATGTTCCACTGCGAGCTTCTGCTTTGACTAATTTGGCCCAGTTCCAATACCGACCTGCTTGCAGAAACTCCAAGTGTTTCTACCAAATTTGAAGTCGATATCTTAATTTTTGCGACCAGGACATTGCCAACAACACACACCGCAAAGAGTTGGACGGATGTGGCTAAATCAATTTAGAATTTCACGTATTAAGAATAAATATATTTTATAGTGTCTCGGAAGCTTCCTTTGGTATTACATGCATTATGAAAAAAAACAAAACGAGTATATACCATCTTACAGTGACGGGTGTAAAAAAACAAAAAAATAAAACTTCGATAATCCATAAAACTGCAAATTCCAATCACTTGCCAAACTTAAACACAATATAATTTTTCTGATCTAAAGATGGTTTATTAGAGGCACAGCACAGGCCGGCATGCTTAGGTCGATAGGGAATTTAGTAGTGATCAGCAACTTTATAAGATCTCTAAAGCTATCTTATAGCATATTACAAGACCGCCTGACAAAACGAATGCATCCCCACCTTTAGACTGGTTTAAGTCACCGCGATTTAATTTAATCATGTTTGTCCAGTTGTCTGTGCTTCCTATACTACCGTCGCAAGATGTTGAGAAAAAGTTCATATAATATATATTTGGAATAATAAATAGATTTCAAAAAGATAACATTACACTGGCCTACATGTTTGATCATAGCAGTGTTTAGAGCTAGTCATTTTTGTTATTGATCTGTTTTTCGAATAGTAATACACTATGCTCTTTTTTTCCTTGGAGTTACCCTTTTCTTGTTTAACTTATCAAAGTTTTATTATCAAATGGTCATTCCGTGCCACTTGCTATTTCAGTTTTATGTAAATGTTTCACGAACTTGTTCTTCTAATTTTTAACCTTTTTGATTTCTTTTTTAAATTTTTTTTTAGACAATTATTCATTTCGTGCAACTTCTTTGTGCACTTGTAAAATAGCTGGAAATTTTTCATGGCCGTGGATGTTTGAATTTGCATTTATTGAAAGCAACTCCGTCTTAATTTTTTTAGTAAATGAATTATTGGTCCTACACGCTTGATTTTTATATGTTCGCTAAAAGCCATTAGCTGGTTTCTTTCTTTACATCGTTTATAAAAAAATTCCCTTTTATTGAGAATGAAGAGAACACAGTTGTTTCAATAAATATTTCCCACCATTTCATGGTGTTAAGTGAGAAAAATATTTCCAACCACGCTGTTAAAAGCAAATGATTAATTGATGGAAAATATAAACGATTATCTCAATTTATTTCACTTGCATATTTATTTGTACATTTTTTATCTTTTCTGTTAATTTTACGCATTCTTCGGTAAATACCTTATAATACTTAAAATTATTTGACAGATTTTCTAGCTGTAGCTTTTGATCTGGCATAAACATTTTATAATGCAAACGGCCTAAATGAAAACGAGAATGAATCTCATCAACGTCAATATTAGCCTTAATCGAACCATCTTTCTTCTCAGTGTAGGATTGGCAGGTGAACCCCTAAGGCATAGGAAATATGTAAAAGCTTGCAAATCGATCGCATTAAATAACAGCAGTTACTTTTCGAAACACAGTGAGATGTAAGATTGGAATTGGAAATGGATTAAGCAGCTCATAATTATGTTTGCATTCATTAAGCTTAATGAACATAAAGTACCTAAAAAAGCGTTTATGGGCACTAAAACTTATCTCACCATGTATGAGTAGGTACCATTAATCGGTAGTACCATTAATTAATTTAACTTTACATAAACTTACATGTTAGTGATTTAAGAGTTTTAGAATTTACTCTCTGGCTAAATTAATAATAATAATAAAAAGTATAGAAAAATGAGAACAAAATTCATAAATTAGAAAAAAAGAATAAAAACTGAAAAAAACATGCGCACGACTAACACACAGGCACATTTCCAACTGGGCTATAGGGTGAAGTAGGGACTGAACCACTAAACCAATGCAAACATTTAAACAATATCTACAAATTGAACGAAGATTTAATAATTGATATTGATATTAAGTTATATAGTTAGATTTTTGCAAAGGCACTTAAAGGGTTAAAAAGGTCGTAGTTGTATCTACATTGGCTAAGCTTTATAAAAATAGAGTTTCTAGAAGAACGACTAGAAATCTTAAAGTTCATCTTTCCTAATAATGCCGACGCGTCAATAGTGCCAGTTATTAACTTAACTTAGAGGAAAACACCAAGAATGAATCTACGATTCCCTAATGAGAGTAAGACCAAAAAAGCAGCTTATTTTCATAAGAAGGCATAGGGCGAAGTGTATCTCAACCCAAATTCCTTGGGAAAAAAACCGGAAATTGTTTTTGAACTGACTGGATTGAGTCAACATGGTACCTATAGAAAAGAGATTATATAACTGAGCCATTTTCAAGTATTGGCCTGACCAGATTTCTAGAACGCCGTTTAATATATAAATCCACATTTTCCACTTTGTGTTAACTAATGAAATACTTAGTAGAAAATGAATTCCGCTCAGAAAAGGAAAGCTTCTTGCATTTTAATTATTAACAATTCCTTCAAACAATTTAAGTACGTCGCTCTACTTGGCAAAAACTCTATAGTTCTCGAGTAGACGACGATGTCCGCTTTTATAATGAGGTATAAGAAAGCTACTCTGCCAACACAAAGGGAATCTTCAGAGAAAAATTAAACATCTTTGCGGTAAGAACACATAGTTCGTCAGAGGACCTGGCGCATAAATATATTTCGACCACATTAAAACTTATTATTCGTCTCTTTCAGAAATGCTCAAATTCGCCATGGATTCAGAGTTTACGATTTCATATGGGTGATTATTTGATACATCGGCATTAACAGTCGGATATATTCGGCAAAGAGGTTCACTGTTTGTATATCCCCGAAGCACTTAAAGCCCTTAATCGAAGTCGATAATGGATTTTTTGGGATTCTTCCTTTGGGGCTGACAAATTTGTAAAATTTGCTGAATTTGCAATAATTTTTGTGGTTGATGGGATCAAATCTGCGCCTTACAGTAGAGTAGATGAAACAAAAGTAAACAAAGCCACTTTTCATGTATTTTTGGAATAATTAAGTGTTTGTGTTAAGTGTTTTTGCATGAAAAGCAAGTGTTTCGAGGGGGGAGTTGTCTAATGGGAACGGACGCGGAAATAGCTATGCTTAATACATTATAAAATGTAGAAATTAAGGTTTCCATATTTTCAGCGAACAAGTCAAGTATAATGTGTGAAATACGTGAGGGAAGAATATTTTAAGTAACGAAATATTGGCTTTACTAAAATTATACTGAATATTTGATCAAATGAGATTTGCTGGATCCTCTAAAGCCTATTTTGCATCTTATAGAATTGTTGTATGATATGGATCCTCTACTAAATTGAAATAAAATGCAAGCAGCGGTTTGCGGTTATTTCAGGAAAGTTAAGAAAGCTAAGATCTAAGAGTCTCATTAAAATTTTACAACTTTTTTAACACATTCCACAAGTTGTGAAATTTAAACCTAAGAACCACAGAGCGTAATATTAAATTGACCACCGAGGTGGAATGTTTAAAGCAAAAATGTTGTAACAATTGGATTTCAGACTCGCTCATTTAAATTACTCTCATAAGACTGCGAATCGAGGTGGTTTTCAGGCCCGCTCATTTAATTACTTATATAGTGTAAAATAAAAACTAAAGTAAACAAAAGGAAAATTTTGGTATTGATCTGCTCTTTGTTAATAGTTCAGTTGTGTGAGTAAGCATCAGCGGTTTTTCAATCAATTCATTTACTCGCATTGCATAAAAAGACATAAAGATCGGGAATTCAAAAGAAAACATATGCAATTGTTTACAAATCAAAGGTAGACACAAAGTCTAGTGGCAATACTTCTATAATTTTTAGGGACGATGGATATATGTTAACTTGCGGATCTGATGGACATATACGAATATGGCAAGGTATTGATTAAGATTTACAATGCAACCAGTGTTCTTTTAAACCTAAGAACATACCGTTATTGAAAAAACATTTGAAAAGTCACCTAAAATAAAATAGATAAGAGAAAGAATGAAGCTAAGGGTTCTTTTTTTTATGTATAGAACTTTATTAACACATTCCACAAGTTGTGAATTTTTTTTACATAGTAAAAGGAATGATTGGAATTTTTTCTAGCTTTTATTTCTTTACATGTTTATTATAAGTAATTTTCAAACAACAGTAATAAATTTGCATAAGCAAGGACAATTTGGACTACGGAGGAAGACGTGCGCCTAATGAAGGATTTAGGAAAAGACTTAATATATTTCATATTTTGAAGAAGAGCACAAAAATAAATATTAAAATACAATTAAATTTTTTTTCCAAAACTTTTAACAAATTTGCACAATATAATCTTATCATTTGACTCTCGTGGACTTTTTTAAAATGTCTTTTTAACTTACGTTTTCTAGCTTCGGCAACCTTCTCGGCAGCTTTTTTTTCAGCAGCCAATAACTGGGTTTGACTATCGTCATTGAGAAGTGCACATGAAATTATGAATTATGTGGATCCACACTAGTTGAACTCCGACTTAATTTGTTCAAAGGTTTAATGGCTACAAAGCAGAAAATCACAATGTACTTATCAAGACAATATAGAACGACATACGTACCACTTTCTAAAGGAACTTCTGACCAAAGTAGCCAACAACTAGCACATGTTACTAAACAAATAATGGCTAAGAAAAACCAATACTTTATGGTTATTTTACGATACATGGCTAGTCTTTTGACCTTTTCATGTGGATTTTTGCCTTCCCACAACATTGTATATATTTATATATATGTTTATACATGCTTGTCACCATGTTTATAAGGAATCGACATTAAGACAATTCACTCTCTCTTTCTTTAATAATTATTTTTACGTAATTTTGTAATATGAAAATATGAATAATTGTTACGTTGTTGCTTGTTTTTAACAATTGTCATAATTTGACAATAGCTGAATTCTGCTATTGCCGACCTCTATGACCAGCAAGAGGAAGACCCTTAAAATATATGAACAGCAAGATGATCACCTATAAAATATATGAACAGCAAGAACAAGACCTGTACAAAATAGGGATTGTGGAAAAATTACTAAGAAAATTTTACAAAATTTAAATAAGTGTACAAAATTTTTTTAGAAAATAAAAATGTCTGCCTTCAATTTTGTTGATTTGGCCAAAGAATTGACAGAAAATTCTAATGAGGAGGGTTTATCTTTTGAAGATTTGCAAAAAAACTGGAGCGATGCAGATGGTAAAATATATTTGTAGAAAAGCTTCGAATTAAAAGCATATTATTATTAAATATTGACAGTTAAAGACGTGGTTTCTGCTTTGGAAACCCAAGAGGTAATGCACTACTTGAAACTGAATGGCAACACTTTGGGGGTTGCGGGCGCGGCTGCTATAGAAAAAGCTTTAGAAAAACATCCCGAATTTTACAAGCCCTTATGGAAGGATATGTTCACAGGACGTCTTAAAGCCGAGATTCCAGAAGCATTGCAGCCCACGATTACATTGCAGAACATTCGAATCATATATTTTATTGAAAAACGCAATGGCTTTTTCCTTACTTCTTCATAGGGATCATTGATTGCATCCATAGTACGCGCAACTAACTGAAACAGTTTCTCAGTTGCAAAGGCACAGAACGTTACAAAACAATCAAGAAAGCAATATAGTTTAAATGTATATTATCCATGATCGTTTATGATAGATTAGGAAACGTTGTGAAGAGAAATTACTATCCAAAAAGTATATTAAAGAAAAGTGAAAGAAAATTAACCAAAAAATGTTTTCAACTGACTTTTTGGCTCTAAAAGTAAATATACATTTTATGCATGATTTTAATTAGCTTACATGCGATTTTTTACGCACGAAGACTACTACTACGCCTTTCTTCTTGGCAAGAACGATCTTTAACAATAAATTATCATTCTTGGACTTATTAATTATCGATGTTATTTCTTCGACCGTGTTCTTGTAAATAAATTTTTACGAATATAAATATATATATTTTTTTGTAGGGTTTTGTGTAGAGTTTTTATAAATACTTTTATATATAATCCTTCGCAATCCTTCGTAACTCTTCACTTGCATCAAAATAATTCACTTTGCCTCCCTTGCTTCCTTGTTTCCAAATTTTTCCCTTTTTTATTTTTGCTTCTCTTGGTTCCCAATGCTTCTAAATGCTTCCAAATGCTTCCTAATCCGTCCTAAGGCTTCACTTGCATCCAAATATTTTACTTTGCTTTCCTCATTTCTAAGTTTTTAAAAAGTGTTCCAAATGTTTCTGTTTTTTTAAAATTTTAAACAATTTTTGGTCAATTTTTTGTCACTATTTTGACCATTTTAAACGATTTTACGCCGTGAGCATGCTGCGCACTCCGAATACGAGTGCCGTTCGGCACTCTTGCGTTTCCGGTGATTTTGGCATTATCCATACAGCCTATCTCCGAATCTGTAATACGCTGATCTTTGGTCGGTGTACACTTCATCGAAGTGCCGTTGCACGATTTTTTCGTAAGGAGTTAATTTCCTCACGACCTCTCGCAGTGCCTCAATGTCCGGCACCACTCTCTCAGCTTTTTCTACTTCCTGGCCTTCATCTGGGCTTACGACGGGTTCAAGGCTTAGATCTTTCCTCTTCCGTGCTGCCTCCTCCGATGTTGTCGGTTCCTGGTGGTCTACATCGTTGATGTATCTATTTACATTATAGTTTAAATCCATAATATTGGGGCTTTCTTTTCTAAATGGTGGTTCATTCGTCTGTCCCTCCGTTTGTTCCCCTGTAACATTTTCCTGTGAAAATCTGCTGTCTATTTCGAAGGGATATATTGATGTTCAAGATGAACAGAAAGAGTACACGATCTGATTGCGAATCTGGTTGCGGACGTCCATACCTAAATCAGCAAAAAGAGAACATTTTGTACAACATGAAAAATGTCGTACATTTAAAACTATGCAGATATGTGAAATATTCTCAATTTTTACCGGATTCAGGGTTACCAAATTCAAACTTCAAATTTCAATTGGCATTAAATTCATTCATGCTTTTTTTATTATTTTCTCTATTTATTATTATTTTCAGACACTTGTTGTATTACAATCGTTTCTTATAAATTTGGCGACTTATGAGAGCAATTGAAAGAGCGAGTCTGTATTTGTTTACAATTGAGAATAATTCAAAAAGTTAGTCTGCATTTGTTTACAAAAATCTAAAAATTATTATGCAAAACTTTTAAGAACTTTTGTACAAAAAAGCTGTAGTAGTATTTGCATATGGAATATGTATGCAGGACAGAGACGGAATTACTATATATAGAGCAATGAGCGAACTTCGAATTTCACAACTTTAGAGAGCAAGTAAGTTAGCGAACTTTGAATTTCACAACTTTAGAGAGTAAGTAAATGAGCGAACTTCGAATTTCACAACTTTAGAGAGTAAGTAAATGAGCGAATTTCGAATTTCACAACTTTAGAGAGCAGGTAAATGAGCGAACTTCGAATTTCACAACTTTAGAGAGCAGATAAATAAGCGAAGTTCGAATTTCACAACTTTGGAGATTAAGTAACCGTCATTAATTCAAAACCCATACTTTCAATAACGTACTCGCACTCTCGTTCCCTCTTCCTCTTAATGTTTACGTAATGTTGGGAAAGTGTTCATAACTTTGCAGGAAACATCATATATTTTACGAGCTTATATGTGTTTGGATGTTAACAACAGCCGCTATTGTTATTTTCGTCTTCAAATTTTTATAAACTTCGTAAATGTTTTTTCGAGTCTGAATTTGCTAACATTTATGATATAATTCATTAATGTATGATTCGGTTGATTCGAAAAATAAAGGGTCGATTTGACGATTGTTCATTTGTCGCGCAGGATCTTACACATTTTTTGTGATATTTTATAAAATTTATCGCAAAATTTCCCTTGCATTAGTAACTGTTTTCTCATAGTCTAAGCAAAATATTTACCAGAAACTTCACAATCCATGAAATCACGACCGAGATGAAGTTTAACATTCATTAGAGATAGTAAAGTAGAGCAGTCAGAATATTCGAATGAATTTCTTTGGATATTTTTAACCAGACGAGTAAAAATGCTAAGTAATGAAACATGCAACTGCTGGCCGAGGAAAGCGAGTATCAAAAAAGCAAGTGAACGAATTAAAAATAAAACTATAAAATTAGGTACTAGTAATATGATGGTGAAAATGTATATAAATAGAATATTTGTGAAAGGCAACAGTAGTAGAAAAAGAATTTGAGTTAAGCAGTCGAAAGTTGTAACGAAGGCGTGTGTTTGCGGTAGAGCAATTTGGCGAGACTCTTTCCTTCCTCTTCTGTCGTCTCACCCACCACACCTTGTTCCAATAATAAAAAACCATAAAAAGGACAAAAGGTCGATTCCATGTAGCAAGAATCGCATTACCCCATTACCCTGTCCCTTGTCCAGTCTATCGTCTGTAGGTCAGTACTGAATCCGTCGGTAGCCGTCTGAGGTCCTCCCTACAGTGCCATCATATGCACACCCCCTTCACTTCAGCTACAGCGGTGGCAGCTCGCACTCGCCACACATCGGGGACAAAAAAAGGAATTAAAAGAACTAAGATACCTGATACTGTTTGTGTCTGTGTAGAGTCTGCGGCGGTAACTGTTTACTTCGGCGGTTCCTGTTCACAGCAAAGCGGTTGTTGCCTCCTTTGATCCACGACTTATGATGGTCCGAAAGGTCGTTGTCGAACAAGGGTTGATCTCGACGGAACAACAGAGCCGCTGCACGGATCGTAGGCTGATGTGCTCCCAGCCGGTTGCAGTGCAGCAGGTGTAATTATGTTGCCTTCACTTAATGTTTGGTGATGAACGTATACGTTCGTATCCCTGTTAGGTGTGACGGCCTGTATTATGAAAGTGCGTGTTTGACAACATATTTTGATTATTTTCGCCTTCCTTTTTTTGTACATGCTTTATGCTTATGCCGCTCTTCGTTCCTTTTTTTTCCTTTTCTTTTTGTTCAAATTATTCTGCTTTTCTTCAAGGTTAAATTGCAATTTACTTTACTTATGTTTCATTAAAATGCCTGCTGCTGCATTTGACAGGTATGAAGTTCGTTTTAATTAATTAGTACAAGCAAAATACAACTGGGATATATGTCACTAAATAACAAAGACTGTTCGCTCATTCCTCACATTGTATGAAAGGGAATTTGGTCTTATTCATTCATATAAAACAATAACAAACGATCAAGCAGCTATAATCGATAAAATCGAAAGAAATCTCGTAAACTTGATTAGTTTATGTTTTTCAAAGCAAATACATTAGTATACAAACATGGAGAATTTCTTCCATTTTTTCTCTCTTTTGTTTTTGTTTTAATTAAAAGCTTAAACATTCATATTTGTTATTGATTTGCAATTTTAGTTTATTTTGCTTTATTTGCATATATTTTCGTTCACAAATTTCGGGTTTAGTAATTTTTCTTTCCTATAAAATTAATTTTACATATTTTCACATTTGTATGCATATTATTTACAATGCATTCAACCTGTATACCCGTTGTACCTCGCAGAGCGCAAATATTGCCATTTAATCTTCAACTATTTTTACCTTTGTTTTTTTTTTTTTATAAAAACAATTTTTATTTATCATTTGACTTCTAAGGTTTTCATTGAACCCTTCATTAATTTATTTCTTTTCTCATATTTTTATTACCATGCTTGTTATATACATGCACTATATTTCTGAACTATCAAATACACAGTTTTTTTTTTTTAAAGAATTTTGCACAGCTCCTAGCATATAAGGAATGTTGATGTTTCTTAAATGTTTTCTTTGTCACTTTACTTATTTTGTTCTACGCTTTATGTGGCTTTTGTTATTTGAACATTAATAAACGCAGTAATTTTATTTAATTCACTACTCTTAATTTATCAAAGTTTATTCTGCTTATTTCTTGTTTGATTTTAAGCGAGCCAATAACTAGTTCTAGTTAATAATTGCATCTTCACGCCCGAACTTCCAAGAGTAGACTTCTCTACCTTCGAAAACAAAAATCAGACAGACCTCTCATTCCTGCTCAATTTCTCTCTTCTTCTTCCTGTTGCTTTCTATAGCGGCTTGCCGCTACTCTCACAAAAGCAAGCAAAGATCCCGCAAAATCATACGATCTTTGCCTGTTCTTGCAAAAGCAAAACGAAAAAGGAATACAGCAAAATCACATGATTTTGCCTGTTCTTGTAAGAGCAAAAAAAGGGAATACCGCAAAATCATACGATTTTGCCGGTTTTCATGAAAAAGGAAAAAGAAAAGAACAAAACAATCATATCCCGCAAGGTCATGCGATTTATAAAGGGTACCACAAAATCACACGATTTTGTCTAACGGCATGCCGTTATTGCGATACTTGCGGTTGACCCAGACCGACAGCCACCCTACCCAAGGTTTGTTCGCGGCCGTTACAAAATATTACAAAAAATAAATTGTGAATAATCTTACATTTAAAGAAATATAATTGTAAATAAAAGAACTTTGAAGTATATTTTTCGTGAACAAAATATGCACGATCTAGTGATACGGACTGTATCTTACAAAAGCGAATTTTATAACAATATGTATATATATCTTCGTCCTTCTAAAAAATGATAAACTTGTTAGTTTAAGAGCTCTTAAGTTTTTTTATAGCGAAAATCTTGTTGCCAATTAACTTTTATAAACATACATATTAAAAAAAACTATTATATGCTTATTTTTACCTGACACCAAAAACGTAAAGTAAGGTGCTAATTTAATAAATGATATATTTGTGTTTCCTTCATCCATTAACCCTCAAAAACGTTAAATAGTGTATATTAAGTCGTATAGAAGTGAGCAGCAGGTCTAGAAAAGACAACCCTAAGAAATTTCTTGAGCGGAAGAGGAAGACAGCGTGAATACTAAAACAACCGCAGACCAGAGTCAAAGATGCTGAATGTTATAGTGACATATTTTATATGTAGACAAGATCGAAAATTGCACTGAAAAAATGGTATATCTGTTCATGTTGCAAATCCATATATCAAAATCTGTAAACTCGCTATTCAATCAGTAATTAATTGTAGCCACCTTTACAAAATATCATCTTATCTAAAGAGACACACACAATCCGTGGAAGTGTGAGCAAGCATGGATTTGTTGTTTTGGATTTGGAATTTTGATATGAAGCATTTCAATGGTATTTGAGAATGTAAAAATGGAAATATCTCATAAAACTTCAACATTATTTTTCGCTGTTATGTTCGCGTGGGTCTAAACGAGGTATCGTGTTGAAGGATTTGGTTGTAGGATAACGTCACAACGGTAGAAAAGGACCATTGGAAAGAAGCAATAATTTAATCAATAAATCGCACAACTTTTAATCTAGTGTCGATTGTTCCATTAAGTATATTAGCTGAACGTTTTGTGCTTTAACACATATTGAAAAATAAATTTTTAAAATTATCAATATTTATTGCCTGTCTCCTTTAATTTGATCAAGTCTAAGCCAATTTAAATTGTGAATAGCTTGGCAATAACGGGAAAATAAAAAAAAATGGAGTTATTATTCTTGTTATTATGAATTAAGTCAGAGAATAAATTCTAACACTAGTGTTTTAAAGCACTAGCATCTAAGCATCGATACACACTATAAAACTAGTAAATAAGATAAATAATGGCAGTCTAAATATTCTGCAAAAAATATTGAGTGAGATCTGCCTTGATGACTGAATAAAAGCATCATTCATCACAAATCCAAAGAAAAAAAGTGAAGTCCTGTTTGGCGGGTGCCGAATCTCACATACCCACCACTATGTTTTTCGCTTTCTACTGTCCAAGTTCTTTACGTAACGTCTTAGAGCCGCTTTTAAGACGTCTTAACGCGTCTGTTTTGCATGTTAACAATATTGTTAGCATTCTATTTTTGAAGGCGTGTCTGTTTTTGTGCGATTGCACTGCGGGCTTAATAATTTATATAGCATTTTATTCCTACAGGTTTTCATCTGAAGAAAGCAGTACAAAATAATGAATTGGCGAGTTGAATGACTTTTACGCTGTAAACAATAATAAACCATTGCAAACTTGTCATTAACTGCAGACCAGATAATAATAAATATTCTGAAAGCGAACTGAAATCCAAACCTTTTTTAGGTGTTCCTTCCGATATCATCGTGTTGTACAGCTTTCGGCTTGGGCAAGGATATTAAGGGTTCCATACGAATACCAGCATTTAAATGTGCTATTTTTGGTCACAACCCTAAAATTCGCAGTGGATACTCCTGGTTGCACTTTCCGTGCTGGTAAAGAAGAACAAACAATGATGGTCGTCGGTCTTATGACTCGCTTCTTTGATTATCATATAAATCTCAAAAAAATATTATTTACTTTTTAAGTTTATTACATGTCTTTTATTACATATTTACTAAATTTTAAACAATTGTCTTTAATTTTTTTCTTATTCAAGTTTTATTTCCCGTTTAATAATTTCGTTCATAAGCCCAATCTTTATCGCGATATGCAGCCTTGCGACTGAGTAGTTTGTCCAATTTCTCTGGTAGTTCAACGTCAGGTTTTCTGATTTCACAATTACTTGGGATTTCTTTCTTTGTTTTTTTTGTTTTTGCGCACCCGACCTCCAGGAGGACGTTCTCTAGTAGTCTTGCCAGCGAAAATGGAGGAAATACTACATGAAACCACAGAGCGTAATATTAAATTGACCACCGAGGTGGAATATTTAAAGCAAAAATGTTGTAACAAGTGGATTTCAGACTCGCTCATTTAAATTACTCTCATAAGACTGCGAATCGAGGTGGTTTTCAGGCCCGCTCATTTAATTACTTATATAGTGTAAAATAAAAACTAAAGTAAACAAAAGGAAAATTTTGGTATTGATCTGCTCTTTGTTAATAGTTCAGTTGTGTGAGTAAGCATCAGCGGGTTTTCAATCAATTCATTTACTCGCATTGCATAAAAAGACATAAAGATCGGGAATTCAAAAGAAAACATATGCAATTGTTTACAAATCAAAGGTAGACACAAAGTCTAGTGGCTATACTTCTATAATTTTTAGGGACGATGGATATATGTTAACTTGCGGATCTGATGGAGATATACGAGTATGGCAAGGTATTGATTAAGATTTACAATGCAACCAGTGTTCTTTTAAACCTAAGAACATACCGTTATTGAAGAAACATTTGAAAAGTCACCTAAAATAAAATAGATAAGAGAAAGAATGAAGCTAAGGGTTCTTTTTTTTATGTATAGAACTTTATTAACACATTCCACAAGTTGTGAATTTTTTTTACATAGTAAAAGGAATGATTGGAATTTTTCTAGCTTTTATTTCTTTACATTTTTATTATAAGTAATTTTCAAACAATAATAATAAATTTGCATAAGCAAGGACAATTTGGACTACGGAGGAAGACGTGAGCCTAATGAAGGAAATGGGAAAAGACTTAATATATTTCATATTTTGAAGAAGAGCAAGCTCCTTTCTTCTGGTTACTTTAAAGTTTAATTGACATATCGTTGTTAATTACCATGAATTTAAACCAGAAATTAAAAAATGCCTTAATAGGCTCCGCGAAAAAATTGCATAAAAGCATGCAGAGACCAGACACTGTTGACTTTGTCAACTGTGACTTGCAGAACTTTGTAGATGGATCATTCGTCTTATTGCTAAAAGAAAGTACACATCTTGGGCGTTCTCTCGAACGTAAAAGACTGTGGTAGAAATTTTTCAAGGCATATATTTGATAGAGATCCATTTGACGCCACGACGCACACAGACCACGCTCTACGACCTACAGAGAATGAAATCACTTACAAAGTCATTCACAATGCCTCTATACTTAATGCAGTCGGTTGTTGTGGTCTTCAGTTATACAAATTTGGTGAAACAGTGTCCATTCCGTATTGGGATGAGACTTGGAAGCCAGAAAGTCTTTACGAAGAAATTAAATTTAATCGCCTGCACAATATGCATAATACGCTTGTGGGGTCACTAGTGCGCATCCCCGGATAGGGCGAAGCGCCCATTTTTGAGTATAGCGTTATGAACTCGCGATAGCGATTTTTTTAAATTATTCCATAAAATAATTTTAAACTACTACTTGTCACCGGGGTCTTAGAACATTAATCTTATTGAAACAAATGATTACGATTTTTTTATTTTCAAATTTATTTAAAAAATAACACATAAAACTTATATTTAATTCTCTTAGTTATTTTTTTAACTAATGTTTCTTTAATTTTTAATAAGATTTTTATGTCTTTTTTTAACGTTTTTTTTTTTGTTTTACATAAGATACTTGATTTTCTTCTATTGTCTTTCATAGTACAAAAATTGTTCATTTAAAATCTTAAATCCGTAAAAAGTTCACAGATATAGATTAGATCCATGTATGGGAGCGTGTGTATATAAGTGATATGCACTAAAATTTTACTATAACATTCAGACTAAGTAGACACCTTTGAATTATTGCTTAATATTTTTCAAGGTAAAGATTAATTTAAGAAACTCTTTTTAATATATTCTAACAAAATACTTTTGAAAAAATTTATTTAAAAAAAATTAAGTACTTTTTTTCCTATAACAAATACAAAAAAAACTGCACATATATGTACACAAATTACCGCTTTTGCACCTCTTTCTTCTACTATTTGGGTCTAATTTTTTCATACATAAATTTCTGTAAGTGCTTATTATCGGGCACGGTAAGTTTACGTTTGTTAAATTCAAACTGCATCAAAGCAAATTTATACAATTCATCTTCCATTTGCCAGATTTTTGATTTCATAATCTCTCCTATTGTCTCCTCTCTAGGTGGAATTTTAGAAGTCGTCTGACGTAAATGGGATTTATTAGAATGTTGATAGTATTCACGGAAACCTTGAAATATTCTATTAAAAATAAAAATAACGTTAATTGGTGTAAATAAGCATGAATTTTTCTTTTGAATCAAAACTACTTTCGACGATCTTTAATAAGCCCTTTTGACGAACAATCTCCCATAAAAAATACTACTGTATCACTATATCATTGTAAACGTAACATTGTTGTTAGCGTAAACAACACGAATATATGACGTTCAACACGCAACATAAAAAAACGTTACGCAAAAAATAAATGCTATGGAGTATGCTCCAAAATTTTTACACTTTTCCGAATGTCAAGAGATCGAATTCACAACATGAAATGACAACGTTATAAACTAGCAAAGCCAAATGCAGACAACGAGTCTATTACATTACATTCTCTAAGGAAAAATGGAATGTAGTTCACGCGTTCCTTTTTATTTATTGCAAATATAACCATAGTGGCCAGAATACGTAGGCAATTACCTGGGCAGAGATCTTTCTAATAAATCAATAAAATTATCCATTTGCTCGGTGACGCCGACTAAAAAATATTCATTAACTAGGTTCCGTTTAGCTTGCTCCAAAGCCCATTTACTGCCCGGCTCCCAACATTCTGCAGCCTGACCACAAAAGAATGGTATTTGTAACCACATATTTTTTGGATCACAGTCTGCTTGTTTTAATTCCACACATTCATCGAACGTCTTTAAATAAATTTAATTATTCTGGTTTTTATTTTCTAGAAAGCTTATTTACTTACGATTTTATTACCCGCTTTCTTCCTTATTAAGTTTGGACGATAATTATCACCATAACGTAAAAAATAGTAATAGGAAACAAGTCTGTCCAACGGTTTACGCACTATGTTGATGTAGATAGGTTTAGATATTTGAAATCTGGTAATTATAAAACGGATTAGAAAACATTAAGCTTTTGGTCACTGCAGGGCATATCTTTATTTTATGTGTATTTTTTCCTTTAATTTATTTCCGAAGGCAAGTAACTTGGCATTATTTTGTAAGCCGCTTTGCATAGTAATGTTTCAAACTACCAAAAGTACGGCATTTATTTTTTAAAACCTGGCGACCACGAATTTTCCCTTGTCAAAGTTAATCGTAAATAAAGTATGCTATGAAAGCTCTTATAAACGTATAGTGGTTGTCCTAAGCCTGCTTTACAGACCGCGATCAAAACATTTTGCATTTAACAGGACATGATAACAGGCATGATAAGTTGTGGCACTTTTAATAAAGTCGCTTATATATGTAGAGTAAATCCGTATTTAAATTAGAGAGAAACAGCAAAGAGCTCACAGTTTTACCTTAAAACCTAGGCATATACGTAAATACGTATAATTGAATACACGACCACGAATAATAAAACTACTGTGGACATCATATTTGAAATTTATTAACTGTGTTTAATAGAGAAAATTGCGTGTATGTCCATCATAACGCGTCTTCTATATTCCGTATGTAACTTACTTTGAAAAATCTAAAAACGCCATATGACCATGGTACAAAGCAGGCTTCATTTGATGCCATTTAGTAATGTTACGCACAAAAGTTATCTGGAAAAAAACTGAAAAAATTATTTATTATGCTATACTCCAATAATTTTAGCGCCCACCTGATTTGGCAATGATAAAACGTGCATATTTGCAGTAACATTGATATGCAAGACGTGAAATTTATTCTTTTTACATAAGTCATAAGCAATATTTACAAAACTCGTGGAACCCGTTTTGGGTACGCGATTATACAAAACCACTAATTGTTCGTCGTAATCATAAAAATCGACACCAGTCAACGAATTATGTGGATCCACACTAGTTGAACTCCGACTTAATTTGTTCAAGGGTTTAATGGCTATAAAGCAGAAAATCACAATGTACATATCAAGGCAATAAAGAACGACATACGTACCACTTTCTAAACGAACTTCTGACCAAAGTAGCCAATAACTAGCGCATGTTACTAAACAAATAATGGCTAAGAAAAACCAATACTTTATGGTTATTTTACGATACATGGCTAGTCTTTTGGCCTATTTGAACCTTTTCATGGGCTTATGTGAATTTTTGCCTTCCCACAACATTGTATGTATATGTATGTTTATACATGTTTGTCACCATGATTATAATGAATCGACATTAAGACAATTCACTCTCTCTTTCTTTAATAATTATTTTTACGGAATTTTGTAACATGAATATATGAATAATTGTTACGTTGTTGCTTGTTTTTAACAATTGTCATAATTTGACAATAGCTGAATACAATAGGGATAGTTGTTTGTATTATAAACTATATGCGTCAAGTTGACGCATTTCAAACCTTACTTTAATGAAGTTGTCTCATTTTAGAAATTTAACTTCATGCTGATTTGTGTTGTCATTATTGGGTTTTATGTAATCGATATCCTATGAATGTTTCTAAAGAAAAAGAAGAACTGCTCTTAAACAGAGCTGTTTTACTTTGAACGAAGTATAAATTCCAATAAAGAATTCCGCGTTTTAGTATTTATTGAAGTTTCGAGGTTGAAAAGCGGCAAAAAAATTGCAAAAGTGGAAAAATTAGAAAGAAGTTTTTACAAAATTTAAATACGTGTATAAAATTTTTTTAGAAAATAAAAATGTCTGCCTTCAATTTTGCTGATTTGGCCAAAGAATTGACAGAAAATTCTAATGAGGAGGGTTTATCTTTTGAAGATTTGCAAAAAAACTGGAGCGAAGCAGAAGATGGTAAAATATATTTGTAGAAAAGCTTCGAATTAAAAGCGTATTTACATTATTAAATATTGGCAGTTAAAGACGTGGTTTCTGCTTTGGAAACCCAAAAGGTAGTGCACTACTTGAAACTGAATGGCAACACTTTGGGGGTTGCGGGCGCGGCTGCTATAGGAAAAGCTTTAGAAAAACATCCCGAATTTTACAAAGCCTTATGGAAGGACATGTTCACAGGACGTCTCAAAGCCGAGATTCCAGAAGCATTGAAGAACTTGGGGAAAGGGCTAATTATAGCCAATGCCCGACTAACAGTCTTGGACTTGAGTGATAACGCCTTGGGACCGAATGGAATGGCAGGACTGGAGGAGTTGTTACGTTCATCTGTTTGCTACACTTTGCAGGAACTGCGACTAAACAACTGCGGTTTGGGTATAGGCGGCGGTCAAATGTTGTCGAAGGCGATACTAGATTGTCACAGAAATAGCACTGAAGCTGGCAAACCGCTAAAATTGAAAATGTTTGTAGCAGGCCGCAATCGTTTGGAGAATGACGGAGCCAAAGCTATAGCTAAAATATTTTCTACTTTAAAAACATTGGAAGAAATTACAATGCCGCAGAACTCCATATATCATATTGGTATACAGGCATTAGCTGAGGGTATTAAACATAACCCTAATTTAAAAGTATTAAATTTAAATGACAACACTGTAGCAAGCAAGGGAGCTTCGTATTTGGCTGATGCATTTGCTTATATACCAGGGTAAGGTAAGCCTTTGGAAGTGACGGAGAACGATTTAAACAAATTTTTTTGCAGCTTACGAGAGATTAATTTTGGCGATTGCTTGCTTAAAACAAATGGTGCTTACAATTTTGCCGATGCCCTGGAGGAGAATCACCATGAGTTGGAAATAGTGAACTTAGGTTTCAACGAAATTGGCGTTGACGGTGGTTTGGTGTTAATAACCGCTTTGAAAAATAAACCTAAGTTAAGAAAACTAATTTTAGATGGCAATCAGGTAAAGGAAGAGTCGCGAAATGTTATTCTAATAAGCTATTTATCACATAAATCTCTTTAGTTTGGACGTACGGGTTGCGAAGCTATTAAGAACGCTCTGCGATGTTTTAAAAATCCGGATGTCTTGGAAGAAATGCTCGAAGATCAGTCAGAAATCGAAGATGATGAGGACTTAGATGAGGAGAACGGAGATGATGGTGATGAAGATTACGATGAAGGCAACATAGATGAGACGTTTGATGAAGAAGATGAATTATATGACGATCATCATAACGATACCACTGAAGAGGTTGAAGAAGACGAAGATTATGTTGAAAATACAAATGATAAAACAGCTTACACAACGAATCAAGACTTTGCCTCGAAGGTAGCCTTGTTTGTTATAAAAAACCCAGTAAAAAATCATGCTGTTCATATTTTTACAGATGCTTAACACTAACGAATCGATTATTTCTAGTAAAAACATAACTTCTAGCATTGCCACTTATGAAACGTTCTGTCTAAGTCAGAAGCCGTGTCCGCTTCAAATGTTTGATTCGCTTAGAGATTCAAATAAATTGAAGGGTTTTATGGAAATCATTAATGTAATTATTCTTGTTCAAAACGTGTACCTTTTTATACTTAATTTATCAAGTTTTTTTTTTAGCAATTTCAAGGTGACAATCACTTGTTGCTGTTAGTATTTACTGCTCTAAAATGTGCCCATCTAGCCCAGTCATCGGCAGAAGCTTTAGAATTGGCTGTGGCTTTGTATCAAGAAACTGCGGATTATGCGGTGCAAACTAAACAAGAACGGCGTATTACTAATTACCTGCTCATGCAACTGGGCTTACTGCGTTGCGAAGAGAAATTCCACACGGAATACAATATGAAAAGTTGCCGTTTTGCATTACGGCAGACATTGTCTAAGAAATCAATAGACAGTGTTTACATGAAGAATACATTCCAAGTGTTTTTGAATCAATTAGATGTTTGATCGACATTTGAAAGGGTATTATTTCCCATAAAGTGTGTCAAAACATTTATGTAAAAGAAATAAAAGTAAAAGAAATAAAACCAAAGTTTTATATATTTGAAATATAATTATTTCATAATTCGTTTTCGAGTTTAATCTCAAAATGCGGCGTCAAGTCTAAACATCGTCTTGCTATGGTAAATATTGTAAAACCATTGTAACTATGGTGTATAAGGATACTAAGACATTGCAAGTTACCACCAGCAATATCAACAAAAAAGCTATGGTGTAGGTTTTCAGTTTTTTGGTGCAGGAGAAGCTGCCATGGCTAAATTGCTATCATGTGAGACAAGCTCAAAGGCGAAAAAATTGTCGCAGATTGTAGTGTCAATTTTATTGTTGCAATCAATGCCACTTTTGTATCGTTTTCACACCAATTCTGCAATTTTTAAGCGTCAGTGAATATTTTTTCATGTTTTTTTTTAAACATTTTCTTCGTATTTATGGTTTTAGATATTAGTTACACTGATTTTGGCGACGCTACTTATGTTATTTTTAAAATGATGCAATATTAATATTATTGTGTATTGCATTCTCATGTAAAAAGTATCCTTCAGACTCAGCGACTCAGTACTCTTATTGAGTATTATAAGTAAAAAGTTTTACATATTGTACATATCTCTAAGTACCATTAAATGCTATTTTAAAGAAAAAATGGTAGCTATTGTGTACTTATTTAACGAAATATTATTATTATTATTATCAATATTATAAATTTAGCCAGAGAATAAATTCTAAGACTAAAGTCTTAAAGCACTAGCATCTAAGGCTTTCAGCTTTATTGAAAACTCTACCGCACTTGAGATTTGAACCCACGACCATTGAGTTGCTAGTCGAGTTTCCTTGCCTTCGCCCACTCAGGCGGATTTTTAACGAAATAGAAAGATTATTTCGTAAAGTAAGTACAATGAATTTTCTGCCTTTAGTTAGATGTCTTTCTATAATTTTTTTCAGACACCATTGTACCTACCACATTAGAAGCTTTTTTCTTATTATCAGTTGTATTAAGAGCTTTTATAAAAAAATATATGTATTTTGTTCATTTTCAGAGTAATGTGGATTGATTTTCGGCATTTTCACACACGCACTGGTTGATTTTGCTCATTGTGAGACAACTGTTTATTGATTTTTGGTAATTTTGACATACCACTGAATTTTTGCTTGGCTGTGAGGGGCTGTCGTCTGCGGCAGAAATGTGCCTAACAGACGATTCCTCGGAAAATTTATTAACGGCGTGTACAACATGAGGCGGGCAGACGGCAGCACACATCAGGTACTTGTACTCTTTGACTACCCCCACATATTACACGCATTCCTGGCTAAGTATAGGTAGACAAATGACATGTACGATGCGAATATAATAACAAAGCTGGCTCAGATGAAAGCGCTCAGCTCTTCATTCTGGGAAATGAGAGGCTGCATGCCGGCATATAGCATGCTATGGGGAATCCTATTTCACTACAGACGATGATGGCAAGGCGCAAAGGACGTGCGACCTGACCGCAATGCTGACGAAGTTCGCGCACATCTTCCACCATAGCTCGATCAACAGCGGAGCTCAAAGCTGACTGGGCAGACGTTCATGATTATTTATTAAAAAATTTAGCGGCGGACGCGCGGCTGACAATCAGGAACTTCGGAGCACTCATGGACGAGCTGCTTACCCTAGCATAACCATCGCGCCATACAGGGCAAGCCAGGATGGCGTTGTGCATGAGGGAGAGGACCAGGTCATCAGAAGAAATAGTGACGCTGACAAGAAATCTGGTGGCCTTACAGGTGGAACGGTGGACAGAAGGAGTCAGAACTGATAACGACTACCTCCTCATCAATGCATTGCGCTGCAAAACTGGAAGCGGAGGCCGAAGAATATATAGTACCATTCGACCTTGATGGGGAGGTATTTAGCAATCTGACCCTCCAGCAGAACTTGAAGAATTCCTGCAGCTGCTCACAGGATGCGCAATTGCGCGGTACATCCTTGACCAGCTGGGATTCCAGGCATGTCTGCAAGTTCTCCCGCTGTAGGAAGAGGTTCGACCTTCATCTCCAAATATCGCAAGCTGGCGTTTCCATTGCAACAGGTCCACGCAGCATTTAAGGAGGCCTACGAGGTTTTATACGCGTGCTTGAGGCAACATATGGTCGAGCAGAATATAGGTAGGTGTATGCAGGCGACGTTAGTGGAGAGACTTGCCTTCTTCTGGACAGCAAGATCGTGCAGGAGCGGCTTGATGCACCGAACTAATTTATTGGGATTCGTGCTGTTTATGCTGCTATCTGGAAAAAACTTCAAGGAGCGCAAGGACATCAACATAAAGTCCTTTTAAGATATATTTTATAGTCTAACAAGTAATCATTTGTTTTTATTTAATCTTTAACCGAGATGTGCCGCCGCTCACCAGATCATAATAGCGATCTCCAGGCCTCCGCGTGTCCACTCCTCCACGCATCCACTCCTCTGCGCCTCCTCGCAATGAGTGAATATTCGCTATGGGTCAAGCATTGCAAAAATGTATGAGCAAGAGCCACCTATTCCCATTTTTCATTACTCGTAACAAAACATTTTCTCCTGAAAGTACTGCCACTAAATAAAGCATTCCCTCCATGCACCCGAACCGTGGCGCGGCAATTTAGGGTTACAATTGCTTCCGGAGAAGGACGATCAAGGAAGTCGAAACTGCGACAATTCAATCCAAGGGCAAATCATTGGAGAAGAATGGGTGTAGGCATCTTTTCGAAAGCATTCATTTCGTGCTGCGTGTAAGTGCAGTAACAAACACCAGGAGCATCGCGCCCAACGCGGCTACATCGTTGGCATGCTTGAGCTTGTGACATGCGCACTGCACGCCAAAAATTCAACCTATGCTAGGTGTTCGTCGTTTTAACCAGCATCAATTACACATCGAATTCCAGGCATTGTTACCGAAGTTTCTGCTTTATTTGTTGCCAAAACAATCTTACGAGCATAAGCAAGGGCAGGCAGAAAACATTTCAACTGCTTGTTTAAACATATTGGAATTATTAATACAATCACGCGAGGAAACGCATATGGACATATTCAAAGCAAGTAAGCTTTGATGATATCGTAGCTTCCCCAAGGTCTCCAGCCAAATTTAGATGGCTTATCAGTGGTTGAATTGGAATCAACTAACGATTCAAGATTCGAAGAAGAAAACCATGAATCGCTGACGTCTTCAGTTTGTTGCCCGACATTCCGCGAACATGAAGCTGAAAAGATGAATTCAAATAAAATTATCTCGCATCAGTTACTACCACTTTTTTTACTACCTTTTTGATAGTTACACCTGGGTAGAGATTTTATTATTTCTTCGCTTTTGTGTTTCCCTGTTATAGAATTTCTAAATTTTAAGAGATAATGATTGTTTTGGTGTTACATCCCACTTCCCAAACTCGGAAAGTATTTCCTACTCAGAGGGTTACAATTTGAGATCTGAGAGCGAAGTACCTCCGTGACGTTGTTTAATAAAACACAAAGTCGAAGTCTCTCATGTGGTCATTGTGCTTGTATGCTGTGTATCTTGAGTAAATAGCTCTACTTGGCATTGTGTTGCTTGATCTTTGCTTTCTATAGAATGGCTTTTATATGACTCTTACTGCCATAATTCGCATTGCGTTGATTTTTCTTGTTTTTTCACTTTCAACTTTACGCGCAATTTTTCGGGACTGCAGCATGCGTAAATTTCGAGATTCTTATTACTACAGTAACGATTGTACGATTGTCTTGCAATTTGAGGGTGCCTTGCGATTCCACAATTTTTAAATACTTTACAACCAACTCATGATAGTCCAAAGGCCGTCCTTTTTCTTTTTCCCGCAAATCCAGTAGTTGATCATAACCCAATTTTTGATCAATCATTTCATTATGAAGAGTCTTATAGTTCTCTTCTAATTCTTTTAAGTTTCTTCTTGTAATGTTCAGCTTTTCATTTGGCTCTGTGTACAAGTCCTTCACTTTATTAACACTGTCCTGAAAATTACCAAAAACTTCTTCTAATTTTTGTTTATCTCTTTTGTGCTGTTGTATTTGTGTAACTAAAGTATCCGTGTCGTGGATTCTTTTAGCTAGTTCTGCACGCTTTTTACTGGCTTTGGTTTTATTAATTTTTTTTTTTGGAGGAGAACCCCTTTCCGCTAATAAATTTTTACATTTTTTTTCGGTAATAGGACTTAAGGAGATTTTTCATCTTGTATCCAAACCAAATCGAGGCACTTGGAAGTGATGCTATTTTTCTCATATTTATCGAAGATTTTACTCTCTCGATTTTTAGCACTTTTTACTTTGATTGTGTATAAGAGCATAGACTTTCGGTTTCGGCTTTTAATTCCCCAGCCAGATCTTTAATCTTAAATTTGCTTTTAACACTTGGTAATTCTTGCTTGTATATTTCTAAAATAGAATTTTTGTGCCTAAGCATTAATCTGTTTACAATAACAGAGAGCTTTCTGCCATTAAATTTATCGCTATTATTTTTCCGCGAGTATAAAGAACGATTCGGCTGAAGTTAATGCAACAAAGAACAGTGAAGTACTGACCGACGAAATGGATGTCGTAGACTATGGTTGCTCCCGAAAGTGCAAAGACTTGACAAATCTCAAATAACCAGAGTGCAAGAGCAAGCAATGGCGGCTTTGAAACAAATTCTGTCATTTCTTAAGTCATTTATACAGGAATTATCATCATTATTCCCATTACTCAAAACAGAGTTTGAGCGATTTTCCAAACAAGTCAAAGAAGCCTGCAGGGAGCTAGTGACGATCTGGAGGAAGGGTCCAGATATCTCTTTTCTCTTAGCTGATTCCTTATTAGTTCTGCAGTTATTTTTTGTTTACTTTTCGCTATGGGCGAAAATTTAGACTTCTTTGTCATTTCTGTCTTGTGGAAGTGGTTACCAATCTACTAGATGCTTCCGATGATGATTTAGTAGGAAATGTTTCCTTAGCTGCCTGCGAATTGTTGGAAATATTACATTATGATGATTTAGGTAATGAAGCAACTACGATATTTAGTTGTGTAGATTTCGAAGTAATGGTCGTATTTGAATTACAGATGTGAAGAGATTTTGGAAAAACTGCCTCGTTATAGCTATTATTTAATGACTTCGGGACAACATTCAATTCGGGTAGTAATTTTCTAACCTGAGCTACTTTTTTTACGTTTTCTTTGTTAATTTCATTCACAATTAATTAATCTTATCTTTCCTTTATCATCATCAACAGAATTAATATCGACGTCCGCTTCTTTTCGAGTTTGCTTGGCATTAACCCATTGACTGCCAGATGTATTTAGAGCGTCTTGCCCTGGGTGCTAAGGTTTTATTTTGAGGAATACCTGAAAGTTTACAAAATATAATTATATGAAGTTACTAATATAATATTGTAATAGCATTTACAGCAATTTTTATTGAAAAAAAAAGCACTACGAGATAACTCGTAGCTGGCGTCACTAAATAAAATTTCTGTGCTGGTTGCCACTTACGCGTTATCTCGTAGTGTTTTTCTTTTTGCTATTACAATATTATATCAGTAACTTAATGTAATTATACGTGGGGACAGTCCTTAGCGCACGTCTATTCGGTATAGGATAATAAAAACATGTGATCACGATCGTAATCACTTGATGGTAAAGATTTGGAAGAATAGAATGTCTTGAAATCGTTTTAAATTAATTTTGAGATTTCTACATTTGAATAATAATGAAGAACAAGATAATGATCGATTATTTAAGGTCAACCCAATATCCTAACACTTTAAGGAAACTGTGGACCGCATCTATAAACCGGAGAGAAAATTGACATATATAAGCGCACGTTAAGATTCGACCTAAAGGAAAATCCAGAAAATTTAGTCGAAAAGAAAGTGAATCAAGGAGACTCTGAATGGCTCAGGTCAGTATCCATTATGGTCCACAAATGGAAAGATAAGCGGGATGTGCTGACTATATCCAACGTGCAAATGGTTCCAGTGCAGAAAAAAAGTGGAACAATTTGGGGTAAACCGGGTACAGTCAGAGATTATACTTTAGGAATGGCAGGTATATATCGCTCTGACCAACGTATGTCATATTACTCATTCCTTAAGAAAACCATAGGTTGGTAAAAGAAAATTGCACTATATAACTTGGAAATCTTCCTGCACAATGCACACGTGTTTCACCACCAAAGAAATCGAAAGAACAAAAGGATGACGTTACTTCAATTTAGGGAATCAGTTATTATGCATTTGGTGAAGGCATCAATGCAAGAGAAAGCAGGAACTGTAATATAAATGCAACTGATTTTTACTATTTAGATCATCTTCTTCCCATAGAAAAAAAAGAATGCCTACAAAGCCACGTCGAATCTGTTTTAGAGTTTATCATATTCAGCAACAATAATAAAAATACTTTTAAATAAAAGCTGAAAATTAATACGTTTTTTTACTCCATATAAATTTTTCATTCACGTTTGTAAGATATTTTTAACTGAAATGGCTATTTGTAATTAATCTAAAATTGCAGCACTCACTACGAGATATCTCATAGCTGGCAGTTTTGATACACACGCTTAATACGATATGTGTCGTAGCCGGCAGTCAATGGGTTAAAAGCCATCTGCGTTAGAGAACAAATATTTCCTTTGAAGTCTTCCTCGTTGGCTTTCACTTTTTCGATGTAACTTGTTTTTCGTGTTTTTTCTAAGGAACATAAACTTAGTTTTTCTTCTCCAGGTTTTCGTTCTACTAATTCATAGTTACTTTTTATTTGTTGATCAAAATTCGGTGTCGCAGTTTCCCCAACAAGATTTTCGTTTTTCGCGTTTGAAGCGCATAACTTTTATTTTCCTTTTTCATCATTGACAATGCTCGCAGTCGAAATCAGTTGCGATTTTTTTCATTTTTAGGTACTAGGCAAATTTGCGCACTATTATTGGCTTAATAAAATCCCCCATTTTTCCCCTGAGCTACAACAAATGAATTTTTAGTGTACATAGATTGCATCACTGTATCAGAAGTGGTCGATCCACATTTTTCTTTTGAATGTCCTGATTGGAACTTGTGCATCGGTCCAATCTTGGTGAGGGACTTTTTGCTCTAAGCGATTTACTTCTTTTATAATTTTAGTGGACTTTTCATTAATATTGCTTTGTAAAATTTTGAAGCTTTCAACTGACGCATGTAAACACATCGATTCGGAGAAAATTGTTTGATCAATTATGTTTTCCGACTTCTTTTCTTGTCCAGATATTCTCTCTGCTTCGAATACGGTTTGAGAATTTTCTTTCAAAACTTCAATTTGACTTGTTTCTCAACTTTCAGCAATGTGAGTAAGATTTTGCAAGGAGATACCATCAGAAGAAATTTCTTGTCCGATTAATTCTCTTTCTTGCTGCAAGCTTGTCAAGGCCTGGTGAGCGGCGGCACATCTCGATTAAAAATTAAAGAAAAACAAATGATTACATGTTAGATTTTGAAATATATCTTAGAAGGACTTTATGTTGATGTCCCTGCGCTCCCTGAAGTTTTTTCCAGACAGCAGCATAAACAGCACGAATCCCAGTAAACTACACTGCGCCACTACAGTCGCCTGCAGGCGCTTGCCTGTGTTCTGCTCCACCATATGTTGCCGCATAGCGGCGTAGTAAACGTTGTAGGCTTCCTTGAATACTGCTTGGATCTTTTATGCTGTAGAGGCCGGCTTCAGATGTTTGGCGGTGATGGAAATTATCGTTTGTGTCTCAAAATGACCAAAATACATATACTTTTTAATGAAAGTAAACAATTCGTTGTCCTTGCGTGTAATTAACTCCGTTCCCCTCCTACCAAAACTCTTTTATTGCTATATAGTGTTTTTAAAGTATCACACAACGAGTGAAATAAAGTTAAAGGGAGGCTTCGTTTTGTTATTTATTTTGCTTGTTCGTAATTAAAGATTACAATATATGTTAGTTTTTCTAGTTATATAACTATTTTTTTGTAATTTAAGGAAATTTCATAGAAAAATTAAGCATGAAAATTGATCTTTGAATTATTTTGCTATTTCTAAAATATTCAATTTTATATGTACACTTTTTCATTAGAGTTACGAATGTAATCACACAAAAGGTCCGGCAAAATAAATTTTCTTGGTGGATAAAGGTTTCGAAATTAGGCCAGTTGTTTCTATAAACTTTTCAAAGTTTGCTAAGTTCTTTTTGATTTTTTTCGCCTTAGTGTTTGTGAGTAACGTTTTCGAAGCGTTGATGATTTCATTAGATTGCCTGGTGGCGTTAATGTTTTCAGTCTTTACATATTGATCCAGATCTTGACCGAATTCTTCATCCAGATTATATTCATCGGCAGTAGTTGTAACACTTTCACCGTCTTCTTGAATTTCCGCTAATAAGGAAGGCATTATTACAGGATTAATGGCTTCGTTTACTTTAATTAATTCCATTTGCGCCGGTTTACCATATTCGGCATCTAAATTATACCAATCGAATTCCGCTTGTAAAGGTAAATCAGTTACCTCGTTGGCGGTTTTTGAAAATAAAATTTTCGATTTCAGTAAATCTCCATTCGGAGTGCTAACGTTGGAATTTGATGTTGCGTGTAAATTAGGTAAACTTAAACGCTTATTAATTTCTGCCAAAATGTTAGGTATTTGTTTCCGTTTGTATTGGGGTCCCATGCTTAAAGTGTTAGAGGTAATTGGAGATTTTATTCCAGTCTGATCTAAACTTGTAGAACTTAAACTTAATTTATCTTGTTTCAGGTTCGTCTTCGCTGTTGTTGGCTTTGGCGGAGTGCTCAAATGATCCTTAACCATAGGTGACATTACTAAGTAATCGTTTTGCTTGCTAAGCGCAGTTATGGCCGATTTTGGCGCTATAATGGCCGCTACATTTGGTAACTTTGGTATATCTGCGAAAATCTCTTCAATTTCTTCAGTCTTTTGTGAAGCATTATCCGACATTACTGTAGAAGTTTCTACATCCACTTCGGTCAAACTATCTATGTCCTGATCGGATAGAGGAACACGATGAACGTCAGCCCGAATTTGAACACTGGTTATACCAACATTCACTTCCGATATAGAACAATAATCGGGCTCAACAACGGTAGCGTGAGTTTCACTTAATTCGTCAGGGGATTCATCAAGTTGCTGCAAACACTTTTTAAATCTTATAAGATTGGCCGGCTTGGGAGGTAAAGCAGGAGGCAATTTTTGACAGTTTCTAAGATTTTCTCTATCAACAATAGTATCTTCGGAACTACAGCTTTTAACCGTTGTCTCCATGTCCACGTATAAATTAGAAGAATTAACTTCAGAACCTATGGGCTCATATTCGTTACTGTAGATGCTTTCGTAATTTAAAGCATCTAAGCGTTCGTTGGTATTGTTGCTATTACTATTTTGTTCTTGCTCTTCATCTTGCTCTCTTAAAGGTGGGGAGTGTGCTATATAATCAGCTATACCTTGATAGTTTGAGATCATGTCTTCAGCGTAAGTTTTTTCGTCTAACTCGTCATTGCGTGGTATATAAATACTGTTTTTGGTGGAAAAATGTACTCGTTTTCGAGTTAACATACCATTACGTGAGCTTGACAGATTTCCATCACTGTTTTGACTATTGCAACGAGAATTGTGTCGATCGCTTAGCGAACTACGCCTCGGCAGTGTTGCATTAGCTTTAATAGTCTGACGATGCTCCTCTATTCCTTCCATGGATTGTTGCAAAAGTATCTGATTAACACACTCCAGCACCGGGTTTATTGCACCTTGATTATAAGAAGATTTTGAAACTATGGTGCCTGCAATTTCGTCTTGATCGGAAGCACTGGCATACCAATCATCCGTTGAGGTTTCGTAGATTTGTTTCGGCGAAGCTTCTGAAAAATTACTATTACTAGTTATGATACTCCCCTTCTTAACGTCGTCGAATACTTCCTCGAAGTCACCATCCTGAGTAGGCGAAAATATACCGTCGTCATTGTCTAAAAGGTTACTTAATTCGCTAGCTTTGCTACTAGCCGATATACTTTTTGAACTGGCTCGCGATAGCGACCGTGTAGTTGAAGTCTCCATTCCACTGTGTTCGGAATCGCGCTCGCTTTCATTTCTTACTCCATGTAATCGCTCCATGGTGCGTGAATACAGGGGTAATTTTTCATAACCTACATTTGAATCGTTGTGGCTTATGGTACTAAAGCACTCCTCGGAATTGAAATCGCACCTTAAAGCTGGGTCATCGATATCCATACTACGAGAACGCATATAGTCACGAAATGTACCAGACGTACGTTTACTTGTATAGCGAACACTACGGCGTGCTCCGAAGAACGACGAGGAGACGGTGTCATCACTCGACGAGCCTTGCTCTGTGGTGGGGTCATCTGGAAAAAAACGTGAAAACCGATACTAGCTCAAAATATTTTTCTAAAAATCTCAACTCAAATTTCCTACCATTACTTCTATTGACTCCCTCTTTCTGAGATCCTTGAGTTTGTGTTCCACATTCTGTAACTTCAATGTCATAAAATTGCTTCCTACAATTAATGCATTGTAAAGCTTCCAGTACCAAGTAGTCTTCTAACATTTTTTGTTCATCGCTCATAACCTCAGCAATATTCGATTGTTCAACATCGTCTTCAACTACTCCCTCATCACGAGTGTTTTCGAGTTCCTGCAATTTTATGAAATGCTTGCGTAAACTTTGATTTTGTCGTAATAAAGCACAGATTTTTTTATCTTTTTCTAGTAATTTTTGATTCGCGGATTTTATATCCGCCTTCAATTTCGATTCGAAGCAAAGTAGTGATTTTAAAACTCGTGCTAACTCTTCGGTACGACGTCGCTTCTCTTTGGCTAGTTCACGTTGCAACAATTTATTTTGCTGTTCATAACTGGAGACCATAATCATCAATTTTCGTCGTTCTATTTCTTCCGTTGAGAATTGTGTAGAGGATGAACAAGCTAAGGGAGAAGTGGTGGAGAGTACTTGAGCAGATGGTGTTTTTTCAGGTTGCGGAGTCATAGCACCTTTTCTTCGATCTCTCTTTGCCAAATAAGCGCCGGAAGAAGAAGAGGAAGATCTGCGTTGTAGATCGTTGTATTTTAATGACGTAATTGTCAAAAATGAACGGGAGGTTAAAGTAGCTGTAGTTAAAGCGGTCGAAGAAGAATTGTCAGACGTCTGCAAATAAAACGAAAGAAAACGTAATTTAATGAAACCTATCCAGAAAAGGAGCTGAAAAATTCGAAAGATTAAATAATATTAGCTGAATCAAATGTGCTTCTGCTAAATAAAAGGCCTATGGAAGAAACTTCCAATTTACTTCCTTAAAATCAATTAATAATATCTTACCACATCTTCTGCTTGTCGTTGAACATTATCAGTATTCTTATCCGATTTGTTAATATTACGTCCACCAAATGATAAACGTTTGTAGAGATTAGTGGAACTGTTAGTACTATTAGTACCAGAACTTGAGCTCCTCATTGCATTATTGCTACTGCTATGCGATAGGGATGACATGCTTGATGCGGTGGTTGCATCACTGTTACAATTAAATTCACCCGAACTGGCACCACTCGATGGCACTAAAATGTCACCTGCTGCATCATGATAAGCTTCCGGTATTTTCTGATAATTCTGCAATGTTGCAGGTCCTTGAACTTCAGGCTCAACAGCCAACAGATTTTTTGAACACTTTATAGTCATTTCATCAGCGGTAAGTGCAGCAACACCCTTATAGTGAGATGTTTTCAATTCTGAGTTATAATTTTCGTAGATATCACTATCAAAACTGTGTCGATAACTACCCTGCAAGCAATTGAAGGAAGTTAGAATACTGTCCGCTTGCGAAGGTTCTGAATGCCTCTTTGCCGGCGTTGAATGATTATAATGAAAATGTTTATAATTCTTAATGGTGTCGTAAGCGCCACTAAAATCCGATTTAAGAAATTTCTCTAAAAAACTCGTCGTTGAGTGTCTAGAAAATAATTTACAACTGACAATAGGAGATTTGTTGGAATCCGGTAATGATAGGATGGAGGGTTGATATAATTCAGATGAATGTTGTTGTTGTTGTGTTTGTTGCTGTATGCCGTAGATTTGTGTGGTATTTAAAAGACCAAACATAATTTGCTGCTAGTAGGAATCACTATGCAAATAATAATTGTAAAATTTAGATTAAGTCGGCTAACAGGATTAGGTTATAAAATATTGTGAAGAGCACAGCATTTTCTGAAAAGGGAAAAAATAAGAACTTAATTAGATTATCTCTCAGAAAGTTTGGAAAGTTTCTGTTTGATTCGTAACATAGATTGGCAGATTACACTCTGACATAATAGCCCTTTAAAGCTAAGAAGCTTATAAAAGTGATAATATGATCATTGATCTAATTACCGTTTTACGGAACTTGCATTTATTCATCTTTTAAAGACAAAATTCATTGTAATCAGCACGTGTGATAATTATTAATTACTCATGTCTCTTTACAGATTCTCTGACGCTATAATATTTCAAACTTTTTTAATCAATATGTTCTGCTCTTTCTCCCCTCAAGCAAACCAAGTGCTTCATTATGTAAATTTGTCATAAGGTATGTTATTATATATCTAATCAACACACGCAAAGGCATAGTTAATGAGACGCAGCAAAAAAACAAGAAAAATCCAGTTTCTTTTCTATTAGCTTAACCCAACTAGCATTTTTTTAGTTTGATGTGTATCATTAAGTTATGAACTAATAATAAAATGAGAAAATTTGCAAATAGCACTGGAGTGAGAAAAAATTACCGCCAAATACATAGATTTAAAATGTTTTTTTTCGGTTTCGTTTTGATGGCCAACCGAAAGAGGCGTTTGCAGGTATGTGAAATGTAAAGAATTTTGTAATGCATGTGGATATTGATACGCCAAATAGAGGTTTTAGTAGCTTGCAGGAAAGAAACGACCGTAATATTTTTAGAAGATAATTTTCTTTGAGCCATTATAAAAACCAACAAATGAGTTGGCTGAAAGCCTCTAGAATGTCTGGAAAAAATCATATTATAGAAAAATTTTTTTTTTGAAATTTCGAATTTTTTTCTGAAGCACATCGAGAATACTGCCACTATTAAATGTATCTCTGCTGGTCAGTTAGAGCCTAATATCTTACCTATTAGTAGCCAAAAACGTTAACAGACCATTTTCGTCCGATTTTCCTATTCTTTCGAAAAGTCGTTCTGCTGAAACGTGCGCTTCTATCATAGAGAGATGCGGTAACAGCGGCACTTTCTAGGATAAAGTTTTGGAGGGTCGAGAACAAGGACCATATTTGAACGCAACATGTTATTAAAACAGCGAATATTTAAGAAAGAACCTCTTTAAAAGTTTTCAAAACTGCGAATGCATTTTTCTCAATTCATTACGTTTCTAAATTTCACGCAGCGTAAATCTAAATGTTTCCTCTAAATATTTTCGTTCGACGTTTTGCGATACCTTTCCAACAATATGCTTCCATGAAATACGTAGGTCAAGGAAGTTAATATATATGAGCAAATGATTGGTCTTTTTGATTTAAAATTGAATTTTTTCATTCTCTTACTCCAAACTTACCAGAGTAAACTTAACCCTCAAATTACTACTTTGTTTGTGGACAAACTTTCATTGTAAAATACTAAAAGTTATCAGTTGTTGCCATATAAACGGCTATTTTTTATATGGAAGCGGGTTCACAAAAGTTTTGCGCCGTCATTTATATTAGTACACTAAATTAATGTTTTATTGCTTATTTTCGAGAAGTATTAAAAGACAGTAAATTTTTATCATATAACGTATTTGTCAAAATAACTCGCTACACAGATAGCATCGGAAGAATTGTTCAATCCGATCTACTTTCGATAACATTCATCCTTGGGTTACATTATATCTATGTGTTAAAAATTCTGAAAATTTTTTCTTGTAACTTTAATATTAGATTAGATAAAATGAACGGAGATAAATAGACATATTTAAATCGATTCTGAATCGATCGCTTTAACAAAAAGGGGGTATACCGGAGTTCTTCCTGTGTATTGTAACCATTCGCCAAACTTTGCATATTTTTAGCACAATTGGCGTACAGGATAATTATAAGCACATTTTTGAGTCAAATTGACGTCGGACTAATCATCAATAATGGTTGACCATTAATTTTTTTATTCGGAAGTTTTCAGGATATAACGGAAAATAGACGTACCGCTTCAGAAAGTTGTCCTCATTAAGGTCTTTAAATGCTAAGGCGTATGCTTCATGTCTGGCACCAAGTTTGAATATGTGGAGCCATCGTTGGATAGTTAGTCAAATTTTCACGAATCTTGTTAAATGGATGCGTTGTTGATCATCATTAGTTTTTTTTTTTTACTTTGAGGTGTATATTGTGCGAAATGGACGTTCATGTGAAATGACGCGTTCTTAGGAATGTATAAAATAGTAGAAATTTAAATAAGATCGAGAAGTTCAATACATATATATATACTAATTATACATGATTTATATGAAACAAACATAAAAAATGTTGCAAAATATCAAGACATTGGTGCTTCGTTTCAGAAGATTTGAAGTGATACCTGGCAACATTTCATATTATTTCGACTACAATTTTACAGTAGTTACATTAGTTTTGGTGGCGTGCGTTCGTTAAACGTTTGTCTGTGATGACAAAACTCAAAAATGTTCTCGTAGTGTTGTAGGTGGTTTGCTAGTCTTAAATGAAGCGATACAGATACCGATGGCGTTGAACGCACTAGGCGCCCTAAACAGTTTAGTTATACCAGAAAACATAGTGAACTCTATTTTAGATAATTGAAAAACGTGGTTGCAAATGATAGTCGACTTCCTAACGACTAAGAGCAAAATCAGTGTGCTCATAAAAATTTAATTGTGAGAAGGCTTTTTTTCTAATTCGTATCGCGTTCGCTTGAAGTTCACATTGCTGCCCCATTCACCGTTTTCTCAAAACTTGTTTCCACCGACTATTATCTGTTTGTAAATCTCCAAAGGATGCATCGGGCAAATGGTTTTGAATCAAATGATAAAATTATACGCATTTTGAACGTGTTGACAAATAGTTTTCCCAGAAATCATCAAAATGCTAGAGCAGTGTTGAAAAGATTGTCTCACTGTTAAAGAATTCTGTGTTGATAAATAAGGTTGAATTTTGCAAATTAAGATATTTTTTTTGGATTAATTCCGGGATTGATTGGCCACTATAAAAGTGTTTACCTTTATATTTTTTGGAATAGCACCTTTGGTTGCCTTTGCGGCGACGTTGGGGACGGAAAATAATGCAAACTATTTCAGGATTCTTATAGCCCTTGTACATTATTGAGCAGTGTAAGTCATACCTTGTTTCTCTGCGAATATACTTTTCCGGAAGCGGGATGAACGTACCATAATCGGAGAATCATTTAAAAACTTACCAGCGATCTCTGTTCAAAAGAGGTGCTTTCAATTGTACAACGGTCGATCTAAAGCTTGTTTTTCTTAGCGCTGAAAGTTTGAGACATACGGCGCTATATCTCCTATATCTTTTAGGTATAGGA